TTCAGTAGCGACATGTTCTATAACTTCCGAAGTAACACTGATTTGAGGAACGTTGCTAGGAGTGGTGACTATATCTGGCCATAACTTTTTCCAAGACGATTTAATAGTTGATGACAGTTACGCATTCCACGACTGACAAAGAGCAAAAACCAAGTCTTTCATGTTAAATTCTTTTAAAGTTTTTTCATTTGGTTGGCCTTTTGATACGGCTCTCAGAAGTAGGTTTTTCTTATAGTCTTGCTTGACAAACTGAATGATATTCTGGTCCATTGGTTGAATCAGTGCAGTGCAATTTGGCGGAAGAAACATCGCAGTGATGCATTTATTCTCAGTTGTTAGTTCTTCTTCAGACGGATGACCGGGAGCGTTAACCATTTTAACCATTTTCTAACTTCAGGAATGAAGCATTCATCAAACCACTTTTTGAAAAGGTCTTTTGTCATCCATGCACGTTTATTAGATTTCCCAATGACCATCATCTTAAGCGCGTGTATGCCCGCAGCGTTAGCACATGGTAGTATGGTTAAACGCTCTTTACTTACTTTTCGTCCAGGTACGGATTTTTCGTTACAAGAAACGAAAGTTTTGTTAGGCATCACACGCTAAAAAAGCCCCGATTCGTCTGCATTGTACACCTGTGACGGGTCAAGATTTAAATCGTTCACTTTTTGCAAAAATCTTAATTTAAAGGGCTCTATGCAGGTGGCATCGTTAGAAAGTTTCTCTCCTGTAATAGTCATTAAACGTATGCCATGACGACTTTTAAAACGTTCTAGCCATCCTTTGCTGGCCACAAAATCATCTTTTTTTGTTATTTCCTTATAAAAAAACTTGTCTTTTATGGCCAACATGGGTCCTGAAATTGGTGCATGCCTATTTCTTTCCTGAAGAAACCACATGTACAAAGCCAGAAGTGGAAGAACTTCTGGATGTTCAGCTTTCTTGAGTGTCTGTCTCTTGCCTGGCCCGCAGTCAGTAGTTGACACGAACTTCTTGATCTTCGCGTGGTTTCTTTTAATGTCATAAATTGTAGATCGGCCTACGCCGTATTCACTTGCTAAACTACTGAAAGTTTCATTGCGATTTAAGCGGTCTAAATATCGCATTTTTCTTTAAGTGTCAATGTGTGCTTTCGCTTCTTGGTTTGTGATGACATTACTAGGTACTATACTTAATACATAATGAATAAATAGTGAGCAATGAACGCACGCTAGGCCGCACCGCTATCACCAGTAGTCAAGTCAAATTCAAACTAAGTAAAACAATGCTTACGCGTCGAGCACGATAGCGGTGGCGCGTACAAGTTGTAACCTGCGTGATCTACATTAGGGAAGATTGTCAATACGTATGCATGTAATACATATTCAAAGACATGTCGGATTACAGGGGGCGCCGGATTATCGGGGGTCCACTGTATGTAGCCTGATTGGAGCTATTTGGTCAACTTCATAAATCACAGATATTGTGACGTTTTCTAATTCAATGTAATATTTATTTGAAGATGAGCCTGGAGAGGTTCCACCTGAAGAAGTGCAGAAGCGGTGAACACGCCCGCAGAGATGCTCCGCTTGAGGAGCAACCGCCTGCGGACGAGCAATAAGCCATCCATTCGCCAACCAGGTACACCTTTTTTGCTGGAAGGCGCATCTTCGTACTGATTTCGTTATTGAGTATTGTTAGTAATAAAATATCCTTACCTTTTTGTACTTAATTTCTCACTTGAGCTTGATGATCATACCATCGCGGATTGATCTGTATAAAAATGTAGCGCCTGGAAAATTCTGAAGCATTTGTAGATACAATTAACAATCAATTTTTATATATGGACAAAAAATAAATTGACAGTTAAAATTTAAAAGCCTCAATTAAATTCACTAGTACATACTACCAAAGTGTACTCAAATTATTTCTAGTAAATCTCTATTATATTTTGCGACGACTCTGCAGCATGATCAGCAATATTTTTGTTTAAGGCTTTTGTACAGCTCAAAATTAACTGCTACATAACGAATATAATAACAAAATATATGAAGTGTCTTTTCTATCTGAGGATAGTCAACCATATGATAGCGCCCAAAAAGGGATCCGAAAGATTTTAACGCCATCTGTGGCATAATAGGAAACCATAAAAATGAATTTGCATACTTTGAGGAGTGTGGTTATGCTACTGTCTCATAGATTGCGCTATTATCTTCCAGATGCCATTTTGCGTTAGAGTTGCCTATCTCGAGGTAGAACACGTTAATCAATGATCATATTTACTTCTGTTCAAGCAATGTTAGCAGAATTCATTTTATTTGTTTAGAGATACGTAAACATTAAATGCGTATTGTGGAAATCATTTAAAAATTGATAACATGATAGAGAATGTACTGAGATTGGTGCTGTAATGTCGCTCAATCAACATCATGAACAGAATAATATATTTACAAGGATTTGTCTTAAAAGCTTTGCTTTGTTATTATGAATGGGTATGAATGTTGATAACATGGAAATGACGGTGAATTGCTTTCAAATCTCGGCATTTTCAAGAAGTCGCCTAGTTCTATAGAAATAATTCATTCAGAGATGTTCAGTCAATATATTTTCCGCCGTAAAAATCCATTCATTTCTAATAACCTATTTTAGTACATTTTCGTTTTTTATTCCACTAATGATAGTATTATTATTCAAAAAGTATATTATTGCAACTGAGTTGTGTTATTTTTATGAATCATTCTGAATATGAAGTTTTCTTTTATAAAATATAAACTGCGTTTAAATATGTTTGAAGTTTTAATCACCCAATCCCCTTTACAACTTGTCATGTTGGACTTCAAGCAATTTTTTTCAAAGTATACTCAGTGCCAGGAGTGTTACGCCCAGAAAAAATAATTTCATCTACTCGAGTTTGTTGGCAATGAGGTAGTCTTACATCAAGAATGAAACGATAACATTCTCCCGAAATTTTATTGACATTAAGAAAAAAAATAATAATGTGTTGGGTGACCCCGCAGCTGAATACACTCCTGTATACGTCTAGGCATCGACAAAATGAGATGATCGATGTCTGGTTGTGGCACCTGTTTCAACTAAATACAGAATCAAAGATGGGGTTGTGGCACCTGTTTCAACTAAATACAGAATCAAAGATTGTGTAAAATTTCAATACGAAGTCCATAAGAAAAACAAAGTTGATGTTGGAGATTGAAAGCAGAAACATCCAATTGAGAATTTGACTAAGTTTTCTTGAAAGGATGGCAATGCTAATTTGCAAAATCCCATTTTGCTGACAAAACAGACAACTGAAACTTTAGTAAAGCATTTTTCAACATCTGTTTCATTTATCGACAAGAGCATTATTTTTTCTCGGAGTTGCTCATTTTTCTTAGTCTTTTGTAATGTTTCAGGCTACAGTGTAAATAGCCAGCATCAATTAGCAGCGATTAGACATGTTTTCAAAATTATACTAAGTGACATATAAATCCGAACACCCAGTTTAAATGGTTTTATTTTAATAACATTTTGTATAAGTACTTAATGAAGCATAATAAGTAAATGATAAAAATTTCAAAATGATTGCACTGCTTTAAAGCCCTTTGACCTTTAATAATGTGTGGATGCACCCTGATGTGCTACGCATTCTCCAACGCGCCCAGGCATGCTTCTGATCAGGTGGTCAATGTCCTCCTGTGGTATCTCATTCCAGGCAACCACGAACTCCTCTCGAAGTGCTTCTAGAGTCTGAGGAAGACGTTGCAAATTGAGCAATCTCCTACCCATCATATCCCACACGTGCTCAATTGGGGATAAGTCGGGAGATCTTGGTGGCCATGGTAACAATGTGACATTATTATGTTGAACGAAGTCTATTGTGACTCTTGCAACATGTGGTCGGGCATTATCTTGTTGGAAAGTTGGATCTGCCAGGGTGTCAAGATAGGGTAAAAGATGGGGTTCTAGAACTTCGTGGATATAACGCTGCGCGTTCATGTTACCTCTGATGAAGATTAAAGGTGACCTGTAGCACCCCAAACCATAACTCCAACAGTGTGATGAACATGTCTTTCAACAAAAAAACTGTGGATTCCTCCTTTCACCACGTCGCCTTCTAACCCTGGCACGATCATCGTGCATGCCTAAACAAAATCGAGACTCGTCACTAAAGACAATACTGTTCCATTCCTGATCCCAGAGTGACCGTTGTCTGCACCACTCAAGGCGATTACGTCGGTGTTCTCGAGTTAAAGGGAGGACCCAGTGTGGCCGGTATGAAAACAAGCCAAAACTTCTCATTCGTCGGTAAACACTTCGCATGCCAATAGGTCTTCCGTATTCTGCAAACCATTCATTTGCAATGGACCTGGTAGTGGAGAAACGGTCCCTTAAGGCCAATAATCTTAGGCGGCGATCTTCACGGTCTGTTGTTGTAGGGCGGCGTCCAGTGCCCCTTGCTCTTTGCGTACGGCCTTCTCGAAGCCATGCCTGACAACACCTAACCACAGTGTCTACACTTCTTTGCACTCTAACTGCAATTGCCCGAAAAGAAAGTCCAGCTTCCCGAAGTCCCACTATACGGCTCCTATCAAACTCACTAAGTTGACGAAATCGTACAGGTCTCCGTACTCTAGGCATCGTAACCGATCGTAAAGGATGTCAAGAACCAAAATCTGCCAACGTTGATTCTTTACTGCGGCTGACATATTCATTTTTAGAGCGTTAGTGAATTAAAAAAAAGCAGTATAAAAACCGGAATGTCCAACTGATAAGGCTGAAAATTTTGTCACTTGTTATTTACAGTAAGATAAATACATTCACCAACTTTTATTAAAATAAAACCATTTAAACTGGGTGTTCGGATTTATATGTCACTTAGTATATGTTCTCTAGTTTTTTTGATGACATTAGCTGTACTATTGCAAAATGTGGTTTTAAAAAAGTGATCCAATGAATCAGTCAATATTCTGAGTCGTTTTTAGAAGGGATGCATGATCATAATTTTTTCAAAGTCCGTCACTCCCTAACAGAAGCTATGCCTAAGTTAAGGACCACCCGCGTTTTAACTTTTTTTCGAGGACATCCTGATGGACAGGAATCATAGGACTAACATTAACTACATTTTTTGACAAATCTATATTTGAAAAATATAAATTACGAAACATCAATATGATATAGGTACATATACAATATACATCAATACTGCTAAGTAAATATCTAAGCAATAAAATGATTATTTGTCAGACATCACATTATTTTACGTTTTAGTAGTATTATTTTTTAGTTTGTTCGCCAAGTTCTGCAGCACGTAAAGCAGCTGCTTGCACAGCGTCCATTATAGAACCTCTGAAAATAATATAGAAAATAAAAGTTTGATGACAAAATACACTGGACAACAAATTTTAGTTTTTTAATTGTATCTTGTGGGAAAAGTGCACTTCTTTGTTAATTTTGGGGCGCTGAATTCAAAAATGACAATGAAATAAAAAAATTAGTTGCGGTTTAGAAAAAAAACTTTTTATTTTTAAGGATATATTAAAAAAGTAACAAGATTCATATACTTATAAGAATCACTATATGCGCTGTCTTTTTGCTGTTCTTTTATGGATCGTTTCTGGAGCATCTATAAAAAGAGTCCAACAGTAGTCTGCAAGCATGGAAGGACTCCACTTTCCCTGGTACCTTTTTTCCATTGTTGAAATATCCTGATGAAAACGTTCGCCGTGCTCATCACTTACGGCTCCGCAATTGTCAGGAAAAAAGTCCAGGTGTGAGTGTAGGAAATGTATCTTAAGAGACATATTACAGCCCATCTTTTGATACGATGACAGCATATTTTTGACAAGGGTTTTATAGTTGTCAGCTTTTCTATTTCCCAAGATATTAGTGACCACCAGACGGAAATCATTCCAAGCAGTTTTTTCAATACCTGTTAAAGTGTTTTCAAACTGTGTATCTTTCAAAATATTTCGAATCTGTGGCCCAACAAAAATACCTTCTTTAACCTTTGCCTCACTTAGTCTTGGAAATTTCTGACGCAGGTATTGAAAAGCTGACCCATCTCTATCTAATGCCTTGACAAAGTTTTTCATTAGGCCCAACTTGATATGCAGTGGTGGTAATAAAATTTTTTTCGAATCTACTAATGGTATGCTGTACATTTTTTTGACCTGGCTCTAGGAATTGATGAACAGGCCAGTTTTGTCTGGTGTAATGAAGTGCCTTTGCCCGACTGTCCCATTCACACAAAAAACAGCAAAACTTTGTGTAGCCTAGCTGCAGCCCAAGTAAAAGTGCAACAACTTTCAAATCGCCACAAATATGCCATTGGTGCTCATCGTATTTTATGCATGTCAATAGGTACTTCATATTGTCATATGATTCTTTCATGTGAACTGCATACCCTACAGGAAGAGATGGTAAAATATTTCCAATATGCAATAACACTGCCTTTAAACTCAATGTTGAACTGTCTATAAACAATCTTCATTCTTCTGGGTTATAGTTTATATTTAAAGCCGCCAATAAGCCGTTAATGTTACTGCAGAAAACCAAGTTATTCTCCATATTGAAAAATGGTTCTGTCTTTGTGGCGTTTACGAAAAACACATACCGAAACATCGTCTTCTAACAAGTTCCACTGCTGCAGTCTTGATCCAAGTAACTCTGCCTTACATTTTGGAAGTTCTAAATCTCTTACAAGATCATTTAATTCTGACTGTGTTATTTTGTGCGGTTGGTGGCATGACGTGCTCGGTATAAAATCAGGACCTCTTGACGTTGATGGCATATCTTCTTCCTGACGAATCACTCGATCGCCATGATGATTCGTTTTTTGAGTCGCAACTGTAGGATTCTGGGGGTTTTGGAATAGGATTTTCGTCACTGTGAGGCACAGGTCTCATCGCAGATGGTATGTTTGGGTAGTTAATAACAGATTTTTTTTTCTTGGGCATACCTGTGGCTTGTCCAACACAAGGTACCATGCAAAAGTAACAATCATTAATATGATTTGTAGGCTCTCTACAAACCATTGGGGCAGCAAAGCGCATAGACCGTTTTTTGCCATTTAACCAGCTCCTCAGACTTGAAGCACATGTATTACAGCAGATGTGGGGTGCCCACTGTTTGTCTTGATCACCTAGTTTACAACCGAAATAACGCTGATATGCCTTTGATATTAGTGGAGTAATAGACCGTCTCTGAGACGCAAAAGTCACATCACCACAGACGTAACAAAACTGATCTGGATTGTTTACACTTTCGAGACATCTTGCATGAACGCTGTCAGCCAACTGAGGAAAAAAATGGCTAATATAAAACAATATAATGTACACGTATGTATAACGTAACACAATCATGCCGATTACATCATCTTTTCTTGCCGAATATAAAAATGTGGCACGTGCATTCTTGTGAATTACAGTATATTAACACTGTCACAGCAGGAACACATATAATTACCGTATCTCTAAAACTTGAACTAATATTGAAAAAATAAGTGTCATTCCGGTTTTAGCACATTAAAAATAGTAATATTTTGTTGATTTTATTTAGGATATTTTTTGGCTGTTGATCAGTGATATTATCGCTACAAAGTCCGAGATATGTTGTTATTGAGTTGTAAACGATGCTTAGACAACTATCAATTATTCGTGCAATCTTCAAAATTTTCGTAACCACCTGTGACAGCCGACTGCGAAATGCAAACCCTTCCTCAAGGAAACGTAACTGTTTGAAATCCAAGCAGGGATCATTTCTCAAAAGACACTCAATTTTCAAGTTTACCTCAAAGCGCACTTCTCGAGTGCATGTATTCCAGCAATGGTCTGCCCGCCCGCCGAACAGACTTCGTCTTTGAGCGTTCCCATATGTTTGTTCGTTTCTAGTACCATCTTGGCGGCGCCCATCACAGTTTGTGCGGCGAATTTCGTGGATACGTCCCTGTGTAAGCCCATCCTTACACCACCATCAGATAGAGCCTCAATGAAAACATATACCTACAAAAGATAAAAAATGTTTACTCGTTCGTTTCGATTCAAATAGTCGCTGACGTAAAGCACTTCATATTTACTTACAAAAGCTGGGCCACTAGCGGTAACTGCACCAATCGAGTTGATGGTTGATTCGGGAACCATCTGGCACATACCAGTCACCTCCAAGATACTATTTACCAGTTTGAGATCATTGTCGCTCACTTTACTTCCAGGACAGTATACTGTGCAACCCTGTCCAATAAGCATTGGAGTGTTTGGCATCACCCTTACAACTCTAGATCCCTCAAAATGCTTTAGTAGCTGAAAACGTGCATTGCTATAAGAAACAGCTGTCATTCTTGTATAAAGGGTGGCCCAACGAAAAGGTAATACCCCTCTTTGTGACTCTCCTGGTATATTTTGGGGAAAATGCTCGGACATGTCAATTTTGATTTCTAGGGAATGATGAAGATTTTGTTCGAATCTGTGCCTCACATTTTCAAGCACGTCTTGAATGGAATCTGGCTTCGTACTAAAAACTTACTTTTCAAATGCCCCCAAACCCCAATGAAAGTCATCCAAACGACTTAGGCCCGGAGATCTCGGCGGTCTCGTCTACCGTTCCACTATCTTGTTGGAAATGAATGTAATTTTCATTATAATTAACGTCATTTTCCATTATCTCGGCAATGTTTTCGTGGCCTTATTGTATTCTCTAACATGTCGAAGTACGTCTCGCCCATCAAATTTCCAGAAATAAAGCCTACAATATGATTTCCGAAAATGCCGGCCCACACATTTATTTTTTCACGAAATTGCGAGTGTACTTCTCGAAACATGTGGATTCGAATCACTCTAATATCGACAATTACAACAGACGCTCGATAATGTAAACTAATTTAATCCAAGTGTGGAACGTAATTTATATAATATTTGATTTATTAAAAGAAACATTTAATACATGCTATTTATAACAAAATAAACAAATATTCTAACAGCGATAAGTATTTTTTAATGAGAAGAAAAATAATTAACAATTTTTGTCTGCGTAAATTTGCGCTTAGCATTGTCTTCCAATGCCTGCGCCCGTAATTTACGAAGAACTAATATATCCGTGTATGCAACTTCTTTTCTTTCAGCCCAATCTAAAGCTTGGTTAAAAACTTGTATAGCTTGCGCGTGAGTCACTACACTTCTGACTTCAATGGGATCGTTCTCATCATCCTCACTGTCCATATCCTCCCCCTTATCAGCACCATTCGTCTGCTTATCTTCGTTCCATAAATTAATATCAGCAGGAGTACAAACAGTGTTGGGATTCACTGTTTTCAATAAATCAACAACATCCAATGACACACTAATAACATTATCATTATTGGATCGCAAACGTTCTCTAATTACGCTTAAGGGGACATCGTCTTCTTCATCATCTTCATTATTGGTACAAAAGAGATTGTTCCAACATTTTTGAATGGTTTGCTGGTTAAGATCATTCCAGGCCATATGTAAATCTAAAACAGCTTCTCGTAATGTTACTTTTTTTAAAGCGTCAGATAAGTTTTCAGGATTCTTTGATAAGACAGACGAAAGTAGAAACTTCCTATAGTATAGTTTGGTGAGTCTTATTATATTCTGATCCATCAGTTGTTGCTCGGGAGGATGACTTGGTGCATTATCCAATAGTAACAACGCTTTTATTGGAAGCTTATGTTGTTTTAGGAAACCTTTTACCTACAAATTGAAAACACATCTTCAAATTATGAATAGAGCATTTGTGATAATTGATTGTCATACCTGAGGGACAAAGCACCTGTGGAACCATTTCAGGAATATGCTGCTAGTCATCCAAGCTGTTTTTGAACAGTCATAATCAACAGGGATATTAACATTTTTAAATGAGCGCGGATTTTTTGCTTTCCCAATTACCAGTGGCTTTATTTTGTGTGAAAAATTAGCATTAGTGCAGGCTAGAAACGCTATTCGTTGTTTCTCCGGCTTTCTTCCCGGGGCAGATTTTTCAAATGATGCAGCATAGGTTTTTTTCTGGTAACATTTTCCAATAAAGGCCACTTTCATCTGCGTTGTAAATTTGTTCCACTCTTAAATCTAGCTCGGTAATTGTTTTCGTCAATTTTTCTTTGAATGGTTGTACTAATTGTGGTTGTGCTGATAATTTTTCACCAGATATAGACAACAGTCGAGTTCCATATCTTGTTTTGAATCGTTGTAGCCAGTCATCACTAGCTGCGAAATTTTCAGTTTCTTTCAGTTTTTCATTTAACAGTCTCGCTCTCTGTGTTTAAGTACTTCGCCACTAACTGGTACATGATTTTCCCGTTGTTTTAAAAACCGCTTATACAGGGAATTTTCCATTTTAGGTGCCTTCGCATTTTTTAAAGTTTTTCTTTTTCCCAGATCTCCAAATGTATTGCACGTTCTTTGTAAAATGTGAGTTTTCATACGCTTAATTTTACAGATTGTTGCTTTCGATACTCCATATTTTTTTGCTAACTGTGTCACTCCCGCACCTAGTACAACTTCGTCTATGATTTTCACTTTCTCACTCAACTTTAAACACTTTCTTTTATAGGATGTGGATGCCATAGTCGTAAAATATATTAACGCGTGCAATGTATTCACTTAAGTTCAAAAATGAAATACATACGTACGTATAAACGTATCCTAAACGATCATACGAATGACCGAGTTTGTCGTATTTTATCGCAGAGGTGAATCCCCTACACTCTACATCATAAATCGGGGACTCCGCGACGCCCGACATAAATCATCGAGGCTTCAGCATTTTACCGTCGCGCTGTTTTCGTGCGCCGAGGGTTGTTTACGTTATCGAGCGTACACATTGTTTACGTTATCGCGCGTTCCGTTTGATCCTATAGAACGAATTTTGTGTTTACATTAGCGCAAGTTTTTATTATCCCGTGTTTACGTTATCGAGCGTCTGCTGTATATCTATTTACAACACCAAATAGAACGTACACTCGTCCGAGAAACAAATATTAAATAACAGATTTGATGTCCATAATGTCTAGAAATCAAAATTGACGTGTCCGAGCGTTTTTCCCAAAATACACCAGGAGAGTCACAAATGGACGACCTTTTCGTTGGGCCACCGTGTTTAATAGATATCGAGCAGCCGTCAAGTATTTTTAAAAGCTCGCTCGGAAAAAATCATTACTTACGTCTTCAAGATTTTTAATAGTAACACCTGCAAGGATAGATATGAACAGTTTATTTTTTATCTCTTTGGCAACCGGACTGGCGGTTATCGTACCAATAGCATCACAAAGAATGTGCGGTTTCACTGCTAGGAATATGATATCTGCTTCTTTGACGACATACGCATTTTTGGTTGACACGTTGGCCCCAAGTTCTTTCCAACTGTCCAAGTTTTTGGGAAACGGGCTCGACACGTAAACTTGCGAGTATTCGATTAGACCTTGAAAAAAAAAATATGACGGTACAAAAAGTGTTTTGAAAATCACGCGCAACAAGTACCTGCTCTTTTAATACTTCTACAAATCGCCTTAGCCATACTGCCATCTCCAATGAATCCAATATTGTTCGGAATTTTTTGACGAGGTGTCTTTGTGCAAAAGTGTTTTCCTGCAATTAGTAGGACCAAACTGCAACCAAAATTAATCTCATGCAGGACGCGTAATAAAGAAACATGCAGTACAGTTACATAACAAGGTGCTACAGGGTGCGACAGCATAACTTCTTTTTTTCAAGGTATCATACAGTTTTATCTCGACACAATGCAGGAGTCATCATCACATTTCAGGAGCATCAATGGCTGTTTAGCTGATACTTCCCAGAGCGCCTCATCTCAAATAGGGACGATTTGGAGGGTCCGGCTCGCACTCACGATTTGGCTCCTTTTTTCTATGTTTTTTGTGTTTAAGTGAACCGCCCAAGGATCCTACAAGATATGAGGACCAAAATCTAGGAAGAAAGTGCCAACATTACGACTGCTATGTCGGTAAGAGCCATGACAAACGCCAGTTTTGAAAAATTAAGTTATACTGCTTCACACTGTACAAGTGCTTTTTTGGGAAAATAGGATATAAACAATTGATGATATAGAAGAAATATTTTTCATTAAAAATGTATATTTAAACATTTACAAATATAAAAAACTACCTATGTGCTAGAAGCTTAATTACAGGGATAAAATACTACTTAATTTAATTTTTGGTCAATAATAAACAGATAAAAAATTGGTAAATATATCGATCACATTCACGTAAGCATCAAAATAAATATACATACACCTAAAATATATAAAATTCAAATACATTCACGATAACTCTCTGTTTACTGCCGACAGTACTGAAGATTCGTTTGCGACGTACATTAAAGCTATGATGTTTCGTTTGAACTAGTATATGAAAACTTGTGTATGTTTGACCCCTTTCTCGATTGAATCGAAGAGCTTTATTGATAAAACCACATACGCTTATGAAAAATAATACTAGTCTTATGATGGAAGATACCATGACTCAAATATTGAGAGAAGTAAAGCATAAAATACATGAGAGTGTTCTGAACAGTTTCCGACCTCAACGTGAAGCACTCGTAAGTAAAAGCTAGCGAATTTCGTTGTTCCTTACCATTTTTGAGTTGTTATGTAACAGGCGTTTGAGTGAGTTGATGTGTTTTTGGGAAAATGGACAAAATCGAGTTTCGAGCCGTCATTATATATTTGTTTTTGAAAATCAATACGCCTACGCAAATTAAAGTTGAGTTGGATTCTGTGTATGGGTACTCTGCACCATCATTTACCACAGTGAAATATTGGGAAGCTGAATTTAAACGTGGCCATAGGAGCTTGGGAGATGAACGTTTGGGACGTCGAAAAACTCAGTTATGGAGTTATTTTAATAGATTATCTTCAAAAAGCAGAATTACGGTTTGAACTGCTTGACCATCCGCCTTACTAAAAAAAAATATCAGAAAAAAATGTTTTGTATCTTTGTTAAGTCGGAAATTTTTCAGACCTCCCTCGTATATGTTAAGGAGCGGTAAAAACGCCATATCAAACAAGTTTCGAATTTTTGATCATCACAAATAAGTTCTCCCAGTTGCTTTCCATTATTTAAACACAATCTCTATAAATATGGTAGTCAAATTTGACGAATGACTGTATGGAATGTGTTACAACTCTGTTGCGCAATATACAGACAATATCCTTCATAATACTTTACAAGTGAAATGTAAATAATATAATACAGGCTAGCGCCACTTATTAGAGAGTTTTGGCGATCACAAATACTGCAAATGTGAAAAAAGGCGAACGTTAACTAGGGCGGGATTTGCCATCGCCATAAATCTTTATTAACATTACCACTAAGCGATGAACAGTCTTAAATGGTTAAACATTAAACACATACAAAAGGACAAAAAAACGCGGATCTCAAACCTGAAAAAGCCTATTTTGTCTTCTGCACTTTCGAGGATAAATAACACGAAATTATAACAAACAGGCGCTCATTTTGTGAGAGTGTTGGTAATCAGAAATACCGCATAAGTAAATGTTACCTCAATGACCTAAATGTTAAAAAAAGACGAACGTTAACGAGGGCGGGATTTGCCATTGCCAAAAATGTCTATTAACATTATCATTATGTGATGAAATAGTGTTAAATGTTCATGAATGATTAAAAATACAGTTCCCAAATCTGAAAGCTGGAATAGCCTTCCGCCTATTTTGTCTTTTGCACTTTTTAGGATAAAATAACACAACATTATGAAGAGGCGCTTTTTGTCAGAGACAATTACAATATTTTATACAGTAAAATTATATTTACGATACGCCTCTAAATCACTTTCCGACTTGTCTACTTTCCACCAAAGTCAGCCATTCATTATATTATCCAATCCGACGGGTATTCTTAACAGCAAAAAATCTAACATTTGACATATGAATTTCACAATGCGACGTGTTTAATAGCTATTTTGGCTATTTATGATTATATTACAATAATAATTGTTGGATTAATTTAGGGAAATCGTAATTTGGCAGCTACTGAATCTTTCTAAAGTCCAGGCCACTGTGTTGTACTTTTTTAAGATTTGACGTTCTACAAACACGTATAATTGTAGAATCTAAACAGGCGTTCACGCCTCAATTGAATATAGTGAAATCAGTTACTCGGTTAACATTATCTCGAATTTCCATAGGCCATAGTTACAAACAAACCATTAAAATGATAAAAATAAATTACTTCCAGTCTGCTATTACACACACCCTAAACATTACTTCCGGCCCTAATATAGGACAGCTAAATATATCAAATACATTTATAGACAACTAGTATTCTTATTCTTTATAATATCCTAGTACGGAAGATTACACAGAGTTCGTGACTTATTGTTCTTTCTTACGCATATATCGAGCATTTAAAACTTGATAATAATATGCCGCACTTTTCCGGATTTGAAACACCAGATATATCGTCCGTTAAAGATACTTTTATGTTCTCTCAGATGCATGTTTAAAATAGCATTGTAAACATTGCGTGTAAAACCGAAGCTAAAAAGCTGTACTGTTGCCAAAATATGAGAGTACTGATTTGTCGATGGTTTGAATCCATTTTCAATTAAAGTAATTAGCTAAGATTTAACGTTTCTACCACAAGAATTATCGTATTGTGACATTGTTGCAGAATACGGATTTTTACCAATGCCTATTGAAACAAGAATTTGCTTAATACGAGGCTTATTCAATTGAAACCCATCGTTGGTCAGGTTAGCTATGGAAACAATTATAATCACTTAACTGACTTGTGTTTGTAAACGTCACACATATCAGTTCCTGTCATTTGTATTTGACTGCGATTTCAAGTATTGTGACCTAAAAATGGAGTTTGTTAACAATCCGTCCAAATATAATCAGCGTGCGGTCATTCAGTTTTTGTGCGCTGAAGGTTTGCAACCATTGCAAATTCATACGCGAATGCAAGCAGTGTATGGAAACGCATGTTTTGCTTATCCAACTGTCAAGGAATGGTGTCGAAAATTTAAGAGTGGAAGAGAGGCGAATGATAAGCCGCGACCAGGTGCACTGAGTACTGCATCCACAGACAGGAATGTGGCGTGTGTGGAAGGCATGCTTAGAGAAAATCGTCGAATTTCAATCACAGCAATTTCAGAAAATGTTGGTTAGAGTATACGATCAATAATTGCTGGCGACGAATCGTGGTGACATATGATATTTTGAACCATTCAGTAAGCTGTCATCCAAGCAATGGAAACACGCATATTCGCCGCCAACAAAAAAACTTAAAGTTAAACCTTCTGCAGGCCAGATCATGTTAACATAACCATGAAGGACCCTTGATAATAGTGTTTAAAGAACCTGGAGTCCATATCAATGCAAACCTGTAAAATGAAACTTTGAACAATAGTCCCGATGTATCAATTTGCGATTTTCACTGAAAAAGGCGTTAAAATGTAAGCATTTTCAGTCGCCCGAAAAGAATTCTTCAAGCAGAAGCCACAATAATACTTTAAACAGTATACAGGGTGACTTGTAATGTCACGTATTCGTATTAAGGGGTGATAGATTAGGTCAAAAGCAAGCGATTTTGTCCTATCATGTCTTATCCAAAAGTTAACCATTTTTGAGTTATTTGAATTTTAAGTTTTTTATTTTTTATTCCGATTTCAAACGGTTAAATTTGAGATACAAAAAAACTGCATGCTTGATTTTGAGTTTTTTGTTATCGTCGCAGCACACATTCCCATAGTTCATAATAAGTAATAAAATGTTGAAAAGCTACAAACGTTTTAAAATTACGCTTTCTTTTTTTTACTAACTTATTCGATAAAAAAAGCCAATTTTCTGTAAAAAATCTCCTAGTAATGAAATGTGCAAATTATGTAAATAATAACTCTATCTAACAAGCTTTCATTTGAGGTATTAAGCGTTCAATTATCTGAAGTACATGCGGAGAAACAACAATGACACCCACAGAGGCTGGATTTTTAAGGAATTTGTATTACCTGTTTGAACAAGTCGTTACTGTCCTCAAAGGACTCGCATGCCATGATTGTTTTATGGCATCGGCTCGACGAGGAAGCGAGCGAGAAGAGCTGACTTAGTGGAGGAGTGAGAGAGAGAGAGAGCTGTTATTATTCATCATTGTAGTTACGCCATCGCCGCACGCCGAGTGAGAATTAGGTTTACTTGGTGTCAACTACTGCGTACGCGCACACGTTTTACGCACGATTATTATTTTCGAGTTTCCCAGTTCATATCGAGTGGTTTCTTTATCATCAAGGCAGACGCAGAAGATCCGCCAGGACCTCGCCATAGCGAGCTACGGGCAAACTTTTACAAATGAAGAACACGCAGACATAATGTTCTGTTATGGACTTTGTAACGGCGATTCTGCAGTTGCCCGCCGTGAATATCGGCAACGTTTCCCGAATCGCCGAACACCTCATGTTACTGTGTTCATAGTGATGCTGGTCGACCCCGAGTCTATCCTCCTGAAGACGAAGAGGAAATCCTTCGTGTGTCTCAGGAAGACCCTACTACGTCTACGCGCATTGTGGCTGCTCAGTTGGGTATATCACAATACAAAGTATGGTTTACGGTGCATTCTGCAAGATTATACCCTTATCACTACACGCCTGTGCATGTGATTGAAGAGGGCCATCCTGCAAGACGATTAGATTTCTGCAGGTACATGTTACATGCAGATACAGAAGATCCAGACTATTTTAAGAAAATTCTGTGGACCGATGAATCGAAGTTTGATAAGGACGCGATCACTAACTACCATAATGCTCATTACTGGGCTGATAAAGAAGCTTTAAACCCCCGAAAAATAAGACCGACGGGGTCTCAGAGCCGGTTTTCAGTCAATGTGTGGATGGGCATCATTGATGGATATTTAATTGGACCTCATTTTCTGCCCGCCAATTTAAATGGAGAAGTGTATGAAGAGTTGTTGAAAAATCACTTGTTTCCATTAATGGAAGACGTCCCATTGGGGACGAGACAAAATATGCGGTTCCAGCACGACGGCTGTCCCGCACACTACAGTAGTAGTACGAGCGTATTTAGACTCTAAACTTCCAAATCAATGGATTGGCAGAGGCGGGCCCATTGCCTGGCCAGCAAGAAGCCCAGATCTTACACCTATGGATTACTATGTGTGGGGACATATGAAAAGCTTTGTGTACGATGTTTTGCCCGTACCAACGCGCGATGAATTAATTACAAGGATAATCAGTGCAGCTGACCAAATAAAAAGCCGCTTAACAACTAGAGTTACCAAAAGTGAAGTACGTAAGAGAATGCGGGCGTGTATTCGTAACAGGGGATTACAATTTGAGCAGAATCTGTGGAATACTAAAGGAAATGTAATTAACTAAAACTGTAATTAAAATAAAAGCCTTTTATTTATCCTACGTAATTATCGTTCGTACAACTTTACTCATCTTTTTTTAATTTTATGTCTTTGTACTTGAGTTAGTTGTAACTTTTAAACCTCAAATGAAAGCTTGTTAGATAGAGATATTTACATAATTTGCACATTTCATTACTAGGAGATTTTTTACAGAAAATTGCATTTTTTATCGAATAAGTTAGTAAAAAAATAAGAAAATCATACATTTCAAAAGCGTAATTTTAAAACCTTTGTAAGTTTTCAACATTTTATTACTTATTATGAACTATTGGAATGTCCGCTATGCGACGATAACAAAAAACTCAAAATCAAACGTATAAGTTTTTTTGTATTCCAAATTTAACCGCCTGAAATCTGAATAAGAAATAAAAAAAAATAAAATTCAAATAACTCAAAAACGGTTAACTTCTGGATAGGACATTATAGGAAAAAATCGGTTGCTTTTGACCTAATCTATCACCCCTTAACAGGAAATTACAAGTCACCCTGTATACATCGATTGGTGAAACAATTGTAGTGGTAATTATTTGTAGATATATTTGCCAATACATTTTTTCTGGACTAAAGACGGGTTTCAGTTGAACAAGCCTCGTATATTTACTACGACGAATTAAGACCTAATTGGATACCGAAAGGCCTCAATGCATAGGTAAAGAATACATATTGACCCTAATATCAGTGAGGGTTTGATAGATCAGTTGGAATGACGGCCTATCAATCGGTTTTTGACCCCAACACTGTTTCATTACTTCATACACAGGTGCCGGACATCCTTCTGGACTTTGAAGCACGTTTCCCTCCTTCAGATATTTGATGACTTCCTCGTGAGTCATACCGTAGTACGGTTGTAAGGCATACGAAAATATTTCCCAGAGACACACTCCAAACGCCCACACGTCAGACTCCTGCGAAAATTTTTGAAATTGCAAGCCATACTAAGTGACATATAAATCCGAACACCCAGTTTAAATGGTTTTATTTTAATAAAATTTTGTATAAGTACTTAATGAAGCATAATAAGTAAATGATAAAAATTTCAAAATGATTGCATTGCTTTAAAGCCCTTTGACCTTTAAGAATGTGTGGATGCACCCTGATGTGCTACGCATTCTCCAACGCGCCTAGGCATGCTTCTGATCAGGTGGTCAATGTCCTCCTGTGGTATCCCATTCCAGGCAACCACCAACTCCTCTCGAAGTGCTTCTAGAGTCTGAGGAGGACGTTGCAAATTGAGCAATCTCCTACCCATCATATCCCACACGTGCTCAATTGGGGATAAGTCGGGAGATCTTGGTGGCCATGGTAACAATGTGACATCATTATGTTGAAAGAAGTCTATTGTGACTCTTGCAACATGTGGTCGGGCATTATCTTGTTGGAAAGTTGGATCTGCCAGGGTGTCAAGATAGGGTAAAATATGGGGTTCTAGAACTTCGTGTTACCTCTGATGAAGATTAAAGGTGACCTGGAACCATAAGCTATAGCACCTCAAACCATAACTCCAACAGTGTGATGAACAAGTCTTTCAACAAAAAACTGTGGATTCCTCCTTTCACCACGTCGCCTTCTAACCCTGGCACGACCATCGTGCATGTCTAAACAAAATCGAGACTCGTCACTAAAGACAATACTGTTCCATTCCTCATCCCAGAGTGACCGTTGTCTGCACCACTCAAGGCGATTACGTCGGTGTTCTCGAGTTAAAGGGAGGACCCAGTGTGGCCGGTATGAAAACAAGCCAAAACTTCTCATTCGTCGGTAAACACTTCGCATGCCAATAGGTCTTCCGTGTTCTGCAAACCATTCATTTGCAATGGACCTGGTAGTGGAGAAACGGTCCCTTAAGGCGAATAACCTTAGGCGGCGATCTTCACGGTCTGTTGTTCTACGGCGGTGTCCAGTGCCCCTTGCTCTTTGCGTACGGCCTTCTCGAAGCCATGCCTGACAACACCTAACCACAGTGTCTAGACTTCTTTGCACTCTAACTGCAATTGCCCGAAAAGAAAGACCAGCTTCCCGAAGTCCCACTATACGGCCCCTATCAAACTAACTAAGTTGACGAAATCGTACAGGTCTCCGTACTCTAGGCATCGTAACCGATCGTAAGGGATGTCAAGAACCAAAATCCGCCAACGTTGATTCTTTACGGCGGCTGAAATATTCATTTTTAGAGCGTTAGTGAATTTAAAAAAAGCAGTATAAAAACCGGAATGTCCAACTGATAAGGCTGAACATTTTTTCACTTGTTATTTACAGTAAGATGAATACATTCACCAACTTTTATTAAAATAAAACCATTTAAACTGGGTGTTCGGATTTATATGTCACTTAGTATATATCGTAATAAGGGTTTTGTTGAGTATACACTAAAAATGCTCCAAACATGCACCTTTCAATCACTGACCACTGAATTCTAACAAAAAACAAAATGATTTTCACTTCAGTTGCATTGCTTTTGAGTGCCCACTGTAGCAACTGACACCCTTGCTTTGTGTTCCTTGGTCTTAACCTAGACTCTTTTGAGTTGACTTGCCAGAAAAACAAAGTATAGTAAAACCGACCACTTGGACGTTTATACGGATAAATAATTTCACTAGTATTTTTCTCTGTATCAGCAGAATCTTACCTGTGTGTATTTATTATACAATATACTTTCTAAGGGCATCCAGCGAACTGGTATTGCGTCTCTATCACTGCCTTTATAGTAGTCTTGAAGGTAAATTTTCTGTGAAAGACCAAAGTCTGCTATCTTGACTATCATATCATCACTAATCAGACAGTTCCTCGTGGCTAGGTCACGATGAACAAACTTCCTGTTGGCACATGAAATAATCGATGCTACATCAGACACACAATACAAAATGCAATTCCAAGGTTTTTGAGAATTTGTGCAATTTTTATTATGTCCTTTGGATTAAGCAGATAGAAATACAACTCTTTGTCTCCTGATTTTTTTGTATTTCGCTTAGTTTTCGACGAAAAAAGTCCACTTAATCGCATATCCCTAGACCACACAAGGAATATGAGGAAGTTAAATCAATGCTACAATCCTTGAATATTATTTACTAGTCGTTAGTTTAATAAAAATTCATTAGTTTAGATAAATAATTTCCAAAAGTAACTTTTCTCCATATTGCTTGTGTGGTCCAAGAATATGCAATTAAGTGGACTTCTTCTCAAAAACTAAGCAAGATATAAAAAAAATCAGGGAAAAATAAGTTGTATTATTTATATTTGCTTCATCTAAAGAACATAATAAAAATTGGATAAATTTAATCAAGTTAGGACTAAATCAGCTCCTTAACTAAATATCACCGTCAAATAACAACAAAATTAGGTAAAGGATATTTAAAATATTTACAAAAAACATTTTTTTTTTCAATTTTAACACCCTGTATATAGACAAATATGAATATTTACCTAAATACCTTTAGAAAAAGAATTTATACTTCATTGCTCCATAAACAAATGCGTTATTAGTAGAAAAACTAAATTCCTTGTTTTTACACTATCTGCAATGATCACAAGTCTGAATATAAGCACTTTTTATGAGGACAAAAATATGTAGACAAATTCTCTTCAACATTAGTTTAGTACAGTTTCGTGTCAGAAAAGATTAGTTAAGTAGAAGCTAAGTGATCTTAAGACCATGCCGCGTGGTTCAGAAATTTTTTTCGCTGTGAAAACTAAGATCATTGAGTTATACAAAGATGGTCAACGTCACGTCGACATTGCCGAAAATTTGAAGCTGAAGCGTAAAGCAGTTTGGGCAATATTGAACAAATATAAACAAAAAGGTATCTTGGAAGCCTCTAAGAGAAGTGGTCGGCCTAGAAAACTAAATGCTAGATCAGTTAGATTAATAAAAGTAATTTCGTCCAAAGATCCGTTTAAAACCTCAAGACAAATAAATGCTGAAATCGAGTCAAAAGGAATTGTCAGTGTTTCTATGGTTTGGGGGCGCTTTTCGGGGTTTGGGATGGGACCTTTACATAGATTACATGGCATTATGGATAAGTTTGTATACACAGATATACTAAAGCATATCATGTTACCCTATATGGAAGACAATATGCCCTTAAGATTGATCTTCCAGCAAGATAATGACCCGAAGCACACATCAAATCTCACAAAGAAATTCTTTCTGGATGAAAAAATACCAGTTCTCAAATGGCCTTCACAGTCTCCCGATATAAATCCCATTGAAAATCTATGGGAATACTTAGATAAGCAAATACGAGATAAAAATTATTCAAAGGATGAAATTTTTGCCGCTTTGGAGCAAAAGTGGAGACAGATTGATGAATATTATATCAAGAAACTTCTACAATCTATGCCGAGACGATGCCAGGTGGTGATTGATAGATATGGTCATGCTACAAAATATTAACACAAAAATGGTTGGTTTTCTATAATTCAATGAACTTTGCTTCTTTTTTCTATAATTGTTTTGCTTTGTCTATATATTTTTTTTCCTTCATAGTTCCAGATTTTTTTCAATTAATTTTTTATTCAACGGAGTCTAATGGATTTATTTATGTATAAGTGAGTATTATGCTATAACGAATTATGTATACAGGTTGGTGTATTAATAAAACAAGGTAAAACATAAATACAGTACAATATTAATTTGTCCATATACTTCTGTCCATTACTATATGTTTATCTAAACTTTTTGTTTTAAAATCACTCCAAGAATCGGCTGTTAAATTTATGGTACATACTTAAATAACACTCTGTATAATGCAACATACTGTGTAGCATCTAAAAATTGTTTGCTTTAATAAGTAGCTACTGTTGTGGTGTCTAAAAAATATCTATACAGGAAAATTATATGAGGTTTTGTTCGCTTTCGGAACTAATAATCAATCAATTTGTCATGGTCACGTTTGGAATTTGAATGATTAAAATTGCTTCAAATATTAGTTATGCAATCAATTACACATTTTAATGGACCTTGGCATCTATCCATCTCGAATATTATTGAAATCCTTGAATTCTGAGGAAATTAAATTCTATCAAAATGCTTATTAAAGTTGAAAGAGGTTCTGATTATACAGGGTGTGACTTGTTGATAGATAATTACAAGACGCATTTCTAAGCCAAATTCAAGTAGAAGATTTCATATAACCACGTATTATAAAAAATCTTAATTTCAATAAAATATTCCTTTTTATCTATATCTCAATCAATAATTATAATTTTTTTGTGAAATAATTTAAATATTGTGAATCAAATTAGGTTGGATTGTTGTCTCAACATGTGATGAGGTTGCCATATTTTTTCCCTTCAAAAATGAAGTAAGATACAGGGAGATACCGGAAGACACAACAGTGATTCTCTATCTGCTTTATTCGGAAAATAATACGTATTTTCAAAAGTCAGACGCCACTTAAATTCATAATTATTATCCTTTAGTTTGTACCTTATTGCAATAACCCTGTACCCTTTATTACACATGTTGATATGAAATTTTCTAGATGAATTTGGTTCAGAAGTATGCAATTGTAATTATGACCTATCATTATTATAAGTACTGCATTATTATTATTAATTTTGCAACTTACCTATCAGCTAAGTAAACCATTCCAGATGCTATCTGCAGCGCAATATTGACCTTATCTAGACTACTAAGTTGCATATCTTTGTATATGTCTTTATTTGTGAATTCCCCATCCACCACACTTCTCACAACGTAATTTCCGGGCGAACACTGCCTCAAAAACTCGTTCAAGTCTCCTTTGCCCATGTATTCGAACAGCAAACACATCGGTCTTCCGACAGCACACACACCGAGAAGTTTGACGATATTCGGATGGTCAAACTCGGCTAACAGACATGCCTCTTTTTCAAAATCGTCTTGCATATCCTCCGAGGCGTCGTCTTTCAGCATTTTTACGGCTACTATCGTGAACTCTTCTCCTGGAATCAGTCCTGGGGCTTTTGCTTGGAAGACGCTGCCGAAAGCCCCTTGTCCTAAGTCTTTTATGTAAATGATATCGTTTCGCGGGAATTCTAGTTTTTCTAGTTTTGGATTCAGTGGAGCACCGTGTCGATGATACGCAACGTTACTAGGTAATTTATCAAGATCGATGTTGACTTCCGCATTCTCTGGGGCATTGTATCCGAGTAAGTGTCTTTTGTGCATCCTGTGGCACAGCAAAATCAGCAACAAACAGATAACGATAATCAATAGGCCTACGCTTGATACTGTGATAAGGAAAGTGGGCGATAAGAATTGGTCCATCGCAATATTCTTGTTTTCAACCTGATCCACGGTGGAGTTTGGACAACGGGGTATATCGCAATGTTGCCATCTGTTCTTGGGATTCGTAGTGAAACACCACGGACTCTTTTCTTCGCCACCGGCATTTCTGCAGTAATTCTCGGCGTTTCGGAGTTCAGGAAATATGTTCGGCGGAGAATCGTGTGTGTGAGGGAACTGCGAGTCCCATCTTTGGCACGGAATTCCGGACGCTGTTACGTTTACCTTTCCCTGGTAAAACCTGCCCCTGCCTTTGATACAATCGTACGTGATCTCGTCTTCCTGCATTTCGGTCAAGGCGGCGTACGAGCACAGCGCAGTCTTATTCGAGTATTTTGGCAAGATTGAACAGTCTGGTAGCCGGAAGTGGCCCCGCGATTTGATAAACACCCCCCTCTCTTTCTTGTCTTCCACTTCGGCCCATTCTTTGTAGCAAAACAGCTTGTTGACGGCCACGCAGTCCTCATAGCACAAAGGCAGCGGCTTGCTGACATTGCATTCAGGGAAAGCATAGATGCACAGCAGCTTCTCAGCAGCTGATCTGTAAATAGGATTATTTCCTACTCACTGTGTATCAATAAAAGAAAAAGCATTCTATTTTTAACTAATGACTACCAATGAATACCTAGATGAGACTGAGGTAAAGAAAATTTAGAGAGATAAGGGATTTCCAACAAAAAACTGATATACGCGGACAGCCCTGCTGATAAACATTAAGACTGCTGGTATAGGTTGTAAGTTAATAAAAAAAACAGTGCAATATTGCTTTTGCAGAGCAGGATTTAAGCATGAAAATATGCAAAGTGAAGACCAGTTAAATGAGGCTGATACACCTGACCCAGAAGATGCATTTCAACTTAATGTACTTTCAGATATCCTCTTTGAAATGAAAACCTTTATGATCTTATTATCAATATTGTGTTACGAACCTAAGCAAATGTGCCTTACTGGGTTAGTGGAGTGTTGGGCGCTCCTCACTTCTCAGCTCAGCTAGGTATCTATCTTATTTTGTAGGACTTGCACACAACATGTACAAAACATGGTCTTACCTGCAGGGCTCATCCAGAGTGACTATGAGTTCCTCCCAGAGTCCAGCGGTAATAACTTCATTCTCGTAGCCTCCACTAGTATTGTGATCGGACCAATTGAACCATACACGTTTAGTGTTATCGACGTACTTTTTGCAGATTTTCCCTTGATACACCCCACAGTAGCCGTCGGTCGTAGAACTCACGATTTTCAGGGAAAGCAGTAACAGGAAAATGTTGATATGCATCCTGGACGCGCCGGTGAACACTTTTGTTACGGCATTTTCGTTTAGGATTGTTTAAAAAACCGACCTTTTTCATATAACATTGAATTTTTCAATTAAAAATACTCATTATAGATTTGACTTTCGAAATGTCATTTATTGGTTTTTGATAGTTGTCACCTCCGAGGTTGTCAGTTGTCATGTATTCACAGCTAATCAATAGACCGCTTGCAGAAAACTGCACATTCATAGTGCAGTGATTTTGGATAAACATTACAGATTACGACTGCTATTTCGACATTAAATTTCACTAGTCGCTGTCTAATTCCTCAAACCGCATCAAACATTTTTGGTATATTTGACAGCAACTATCCCCAAATTCACGGGAGTCGGAATTACGTAATAGTCTTGCAGATCGAACTAGTGTTTGGAATTAATTTTACTGGACTATTACCATAGTCAACGCTGTTACACTATAAAAGTATAGATGGCGTGCAGGAATGAAACAAAAATTTTGAATATTCACTTTCAAATATACAGCTTAAAAGTTTCCATTTTACGTTTAGAATGTTTCGTTAAATAATGATTCGTACATCTAATTTGTATCTACAAAGTTGAAGACAGGATTTTATATGATGCAAATAAATGTGTAGATAAATTACAGACATACAAAATATTAATAATAAAAAAATACTGGATAGCATGTGCGCGATTAGTACCTCATTTTAGAAAAACATTAAGTTAATCATGATTGATAAATTGTGCATCAAAACAAGAAATATATCATATATATAAGAAAACAAAAGTTTCTAACCTTAAATGACGGGATGATGAGCCTACAATACCATTTCCCAGCATGATTATCGATTGTTTCCAGTCCAATCCAATCGTTTTTGCTTTAGTTATGTTAATAAACTTTGTTTTCGATCTAAAAATACTCCATACGCTGTTTTTCGTTTATATAACCTAATATTTTTGGGGATATCGATCTGTCATTCAGTGAAGGTACACGTCCTCTCAGTAGCCATTTAAAAATAGCTTGAAGGTATTTGGCGGATAATGCAACCGTACAAGTACATTACAAGATTTTAGTTCACATATGACTAATATTAAAGCTCGGGTGCGCAAGACCCCCGCAGATCCTATACGTCGTCCATCCGGTAGGCCCAATGCTTTGAAAAGGAAAAATTGTCCAAAGAGCACAAACGCTCTGGACCGAACGGATTGGAATTGTGTTCCTTAGTCCCCCCCCCACCCCACTGAAACAGTGACGTCATAATGTCGGCATTTTTAGGGTACTACTGACGTACGCCGACCAACAAAAATGACGTAGAAATGACGTCATCACGACGGTCTAATGTCACACCTAATTGAAGACAATACGCGGCTTTTGTCCGCAGCCGTCTTTCTTGTTCCAGAGGCGTTTATTTGGAATCAGACCAGAAGGACATGCTGTGGCTTCGCCTCAACTTCAAAACATCCCCCAAATTTATTCGCTGCCTTTATCGCTCTTCCTCGGACCATAACTCGGATGACCAACTTGAATACCTAGCAGTCAAGATCGAGTACCTACCAGAACATCAATTACCCCTCTTCAGAGGTAGTTCTCCTCGCTGATTTCAATGCCCATAATGAGTTTTGGTTGTGCTTAAACAAGACCGATGCAGTTGAAGCGTTCGTTATTACCCAAGGGCTGACCTAGCTGGCGACGAGCCGTACTCTTTCCGCGTTTAGTCACATGCCAGTAGCCTACTGGGTCTCTTTCTGACCCCTTGGGGAGAAGTTTGTTTCGCTGACGCATATTCGTCGGCTAATCGATAACCGAAATTATCCACGTTGGGATATCACGCAATTGTGGAGTAAACTCATCCTGTCTTATTGTGAAGCTTATGTCGTTGCTCTTGATATCATGGAAGCGTTCGATCAGCTGAGGCAAACTTCCATCCTATGGCCTCCCAGAGAAGCTTTGTAGATGGATCCGCCTTAGCTGCGACACTGTTTCTTTTACATATCAACGACCTCCTTTCTTGTACGATCAACCCAATACTAACCTTTGCTGCACTCTACACGGAAAAAAGAAGACTAGCGACGACTTCCTCCCTAACCAGAGACCTGAAGGCTTTCACTGGTTGGCGACGCAACAACTTTTCGATGAATGAGCGGTTCATCTCGGCACGAACACATCTTGTCAATAGCGGCAGCTGCTGGGAAAAGCTAGGCTATTTGCTTAGTACTTTTCCAGGTGCTTTACGCACCTTGAGGTCTTTAATAAGACCTAGGTGCTCCGCTGGAGTGCAATGTGGAACCTAGGAGGGTTCCGCTAATGTGCTATGCGAAGCCTCAGACGATTCTTCTGAAGAGGATAGAGTGCCTCCGCTAACGCCGTTGGCCCTAATATATCTCCTGACGGATGTTAAAATGTGTTGTTCCTTGTTTCAGACAAATTGACAGAGAGAGACTTGAGCAAAGGTCTCACTGATCGCCCTGTCTAGCATGTCCCCTACTATCTACTACGTGCACATTGGTATCTTTAGGCCAAGATTGTCATGGTGACAGATACAACTGCTAGTTATATTGACAAAACAGTCCTATTAACTCCACAATGAGCGACCTTTCAGCGTCTTCGTTCGCATTGTTTCACTGAGTACATGAAACATGGAAAACGATGCGGGAAGATATGGACGTCGCATGACGTTCAAGACTCCCTTGTTGCCCGAAGCGAGACTAGAATGGGAAACCGAGAATAGTTGTTTATACAACAAGGTGCAACAGACAGAATATCCGCCGATATTCGCTAGGCAGTCGTGGACCAAGGGCGTGCTCGAGAAGGATATGCAGATGTACTTCAAGCCTTCAGAAACTATAGGTGATGTTCAATTCTGCATTCTTTGCTAAATATTCATATTATAATCCATGATGATTGGCAGAATGATGATTACGTAAAAATAAAACACGAAGACCTCGGAACCTAGGTATACTGATGAGATTTTTAAGATATTTAATAACAATACTTATTGGGCAAAGTTTAGCATAAGCCACTTAACACGTAAAACGTCTATTCAAAAAATAAACAATAAAAATGCAGAGGTATCAAGATAAAAATGAATTAATCGAGTAAAATAAATCAAGATTGGATAAAGGTGTGTGTATACATATTTATAGAATGATGTTAATGCATATATTATAAGCCGAAGTGAGAGATAAATATGTCAGTGGTTGCTCGTCATCGGGGCAGCAAAATTTCCCAGGGATGCCAAACCTTAATGATCTCGAAATATTGTACACAAATCATGATAACTATGCGAGTTTTGCGAGGAAACCAGACGCGCGCCCCCCTGAACTCTTGTAGTTTATATCCAAAAACATTCGAATTTCTACGCCAGCCATAGTAACTTTTCACACACCATGAATAAAGCGTATGAATTAACCCGAATTACAGGTTCAACTTTTACACCTGGAGCTCAACACTTGAAAATCCAAGATATGAGATGCCATAAACGAAAAAAGTGGACCCCTTGGAGAGGACGGTAAGCTGATGTTCGAAAGTTACAAGGCACTGGTTGCAAAAAAAGTCACTAACTATGTACTTGCTAGTACAACGGGGTCAATTACATTTCACTTTCAAGTTCATACTCAAGGTCAAATACAAGGTCATCACTGAATAGACAGTGAAAAATCCTAAAAGTTATTAATCTACATTCACCTTATTCCTTAAATACCTCAAATATATTGCCGGTACTCAGAGCCAAAGTAGTGCGTTTGCGATTTTTAATACATAAATAACTATGGACTTGATAATACCTTTAAGGGAAAATTATGCTATCCCCCGAAAAAGACAAAGAAACAGATAGAAGAAGAGGGAGAAAGGAGAAGGAAAGCAAAACAGATTGAAAGGTAACTAACGAAGGTTTCGTTGACGTCGAAGATCTGCTGTCCGGGGCGTATCACAGAAGAAGGCAAGAAGAGAAAGAAAGGCAGAAATCAGTAACGAAAATGATTCAGAAAGTCAATTTGCTGAAATGGGAGGGCTTTTCAGATGAATCTGAGTGAGTAGCATTAGCGTCTTGTTTTCTGCACTCTGTCAGTTTTTATTTGGGCTATAATAAACTTGTGGTATGAACAAGTCCAGGAGTATTAAGTCGTAAGAAAATAAAACAAAGTTGAAAAAACTGGCACCGAACTTTCTGACAAGACTTTTTTATCGGATAAAGTGTGGCATTTGCAAAAATAACTTTCAAAAAGAAATGTCACAGATGCTACTTTTGTTTAATAATAGAAGCAATCCGACAGGATTAGTTGTTTTTATTTTGTGTGCTTTTGAAAAAGTGTCTGTGAATGAGTTATCCAATAAATAGCATCAAAAAATATGAATCTTTATTGCTGTAAAAAAATCTTTATTCTTTGACATTTACTTTTATAAAGTACAATATTTCATACACATGTACACTGATCATGGCAATATTTTTGAGCAAAACCACAAAATATTGGTATATCCGATAAATGGAACAAAAGCGTCCGATATGCTTTTACATTTCACCTCCATAGGAACTTCGGTATAAAATATAATCCAAATCCTATCGCTATGAACCAGAGGCACACCGTGCAATAGTTTGTGGACCCACCTGAAAAATATACGCAGCTTTTGATTAAATAAAAACAAGCTAATTCAACAATTAAAAGCTCAAACAGTCGAACTTTTCTCCATCATAGCAAGAACTCATTGATTTAGTTGCTTTACTTTTTGTGCAAGTTTGAGTCATTTTAGGGTGAGAAAATATTTTTTACTTTTTTAAGCTTTGCTACTGATTTTGATAATATTTAGAATAGTTCTGTCACTTGACCCCAAGGTAAATGTAGGAAATACAAAACATGAAAGATCTTAA